TACGAAACTATAGACTTAGTATTTTTGACTTCACAAACATCTAAATTGAACCAGTGCTGTTTATCTGTTTTTTTAATATTTGCTTTTAAATTAAGAAATTGAGTAATATATAGTACTAAATTTTGAATTATAATCCACAATTTGACACCAAACCTATTGACATAAATTCATGAAATAGTAGTTCAATAAAATTTTGATTGCGAGTCAACAAACAAGATGACATGGCCTTTCACCCGTGACCCGTCTCGAAAAGGTAATATTATATCACTAACACGCTTTTGTTTCCCTCTAGGATGTCTTCCTCATTTGTTTTTCTCTAGTGAACCCTGCATCATTTGAGAATGTCAGAGCCAAGGTGAGTTAAAATAACTGCCTGCTTTAAGTTACATGTTTTATTTCGGTAGAAATAATTGGAGAAGTTTTGAAAAAAATTACAAAACAAACCACTAGGGTGCACTGAAAAACAAATTCTTAAGCAGAATTTAATTATTTGTTTGTTTTGTAACTTAAATAATGGTGTAAAATACCATAAATTTTTTATGTTCCCCTTAAAAAGAGAAAATTACAAAAGATTTTGAAAACTAAAAAAGTAGTTACTTATTTCTGTTAGACATTAAATGCATTTCCTCATATTTTAGCAAAAGCTGTTCATGTTTGAAACTACAAAAATGCAATGTTTTTTTCTGTGTAAGGCATCTACTTGTTATTTAAAAAAAAAACATAAGCAAAAGACAGGTAACTATCTTTTAAAATTTTTCTTAGCAAACTGTAATTAAGAGTTAAAATGATTTTGTGAAACTTCACAATGTTTTTTTTTTAAAATCTTGTATAACTACAAACTCTAATGTGTGTGTCTGTTGGCCTCCAGTAGTAATTATTGACAATTTACAAAGTATTAAGTCCAGTTATTTGATCAAGTCAACTAACTCTAACACAGTTGTTTCTCAGAAGGTGCAAACGCAAACATTTTGTTAAACTCTCGTTCAGTTTGTCATAAAGAATGATTTATCTGACTTATTTTACAACTGAAGGTGAGTTCCTTGACATTAAAGAACTAATAGAGTATATAATAGTTTAGCAGAAAATATGTGCTTAAGACTGTATTCAGTAACGTACTAAGGATTTACTTTTACATTGGGGCAGTGGTATCCAGAGGTTGGCCACCACTGCCCCAATACACCCATTATTTTGGTAGGAACCAAGCTAGACCTACGAGATGACAAAGATACCATCAACAAGTTGAAAGACCGTAAACTTAACCCCATCACCTATCCTCAAGGGTTGGCTATGGCTAAGGAGGTGGGAGCCATCAAGTACCTCGAGTGTTCGGCACTGACCCAAAAAGGTTTGAAGAACGTCTTCGATGAAGCGATTCGAGCTGTTCTGTGCCCTCAACCCAAGCCAAGTAAGAAGAAGAAATGTGTGATACTGTGAAATATTACTTCTGAGCCGACAGTTTGATAAGAAATCTTCTTGCTGACAGGTGTGTTCTGTCATCGCACAGATTGATTCACTCGTGTCGTCGAGGGCCAAGCATTGCTACAACATTGAACCTAGGATACCATCTTATTTCTTTGTATGTGCCAGTAACAGTTCATTGAAAAAGTGCAACTAATATTTGGTTCAGGACTTGTAGTTCTGAATTCTTTCAGTTGATTAATGCATTTAAGTTGACTTAAATAGCTGTTGGAAATATATATATATATATATAATCAACTTTTAATTTTTTATTTTGTTAATTTGTCAGTACTGTTTATTTCTTTGTAATAATCATGTCTGTATAAAGATTATTTTCATTTAACATAGTTATAAAGGCTGAAAAAAAACCCATTAAACTGGATTTTTTACATTCAAAACAATTAACACTTTATGAAGAAGTTGTAAGATAAAACATAGGTGTCACATTTAAAGCTAAGTTTATATGTGTATGTTTGTTTTTTTTTACTAGCAGTTCGACAGGTAATATAGATTTTGGCTATTGGTGGAATCTGACACTTGATTAGTCATTGAGCCTACTAATAGATTATCCTTACATGAGAGTAAGATTGGTGGGAGTATCAACTTTAATTATTTGATTATTCTCAGGAGTCGTGTGTATTGATTAAGCTTGAACAATCGGGAATTGATTTAAGATTATAATAGCACTATTTTTCATTGGTTACTTTCAAGAACACTAATTTTGATTATTTTATGAGAAACAAATCAACATAGTCGAGTTGACTGCTCATTTCTTATATTAATGTTTTGCCAAGTTATTATTCTTGCATATAAAGAGTCAAAATATATGAGTTTACTAACATACAGCCCAGATTTAGTATAATGCAGTTTCGTGATAAAGGAAATGATCGTTATTCTGGTCAACCGACTTCATAATCTGCATCAAACTGATCCTGTTTTACTGGTAAGCTAAATTAATGTAGGACGAGTGCGTGGAGTATTAGTGGCTGAACTTGTAAGGTACGAGACAAAAGATCTCAATGTTATATAGCGACTGTGGTTGGTTGGTACCTAACGACTGTGTATTAGAATTAGATACAACCTTAACGCTAATTAACTTAAAATTTATTATAAAAAGAACCAATGAAGAAGTAAAACAATGATAAAAAATCCTGGCGTTCTGTCCGTAAGTGAATATCAATGATACGCGTACTTCTGACAGTTATTCTCAACAGAAACATTCTAGCAATTATCTCAGTGCTATCTCCTACAATACAGTAACAATGACAGTGAAGTACAGAAATAAACATTTTCTTAAGGGAAAAAATTATTTTTTTCTTATACGTATTAAAATTTTGTTTTATTAGTCACAAAAAAGTTGACATGGTTAAGCTGAAAACCCAAAATTAATAAATATTGCAAAAATGATTACAATTTTAACCCTAATTTCCTTCCAAACAGCCACACTTTAAGATAAATATCTACATAAATGGTGCATGTATTTTATGAAAAGTATGTTAAAATGTGTAAAAATTGAAAAAAAAGTTAAATGGTGCTATTCTGTATCACTCTATATATAAATGTCGGATTGTAATAAACGTTTGAAAAAGTTAATGGTGCTATTCTGTATCGCTCTATATAAATGTTAGTGTTACGTTATAAATTCTGTATCGCTCTATATAAATGTAGTGTGTTACGTTATAAATTCTGTATTCTCTATATAAATGTTAGTGTTACGTTATAAATTCTGTTTTATATAGAGCGATGTGTTACGTTATAAATTCTGTATCGCTCTATATAAATGTTAGTGTTACGTTATAAATTCTGTATTGCTCTATATAAATGTTAGTGTTACGTTATAAATTCTGTATTGCTCTATATAAATGTTAGTGTTTTACGTTATAAATTCTGTATCGCTCTATATAAATGTTAGTGTG